GCCTCTCCGCCGCCGCACCATCGCCCCCGCGAGCGCGCGGAGCTGCCCTGCGCGGCGGGGGCTCGTTCCCGTGGTTGTTTACGCACGGTCCTTATTCCGCGGTGAGAAAAGACCACACCCTGCATCCGTGAGACCAATGAGGGAGTTTAAACAAATGAAGCTGTTGGCATTTCACTCTGGGGAAGGACTTCTTCCCGCAAGGAGATTGGCTCTATAGGAAATGGCAGTCGTGTCAAAAGCGAGCTTAAACCCAGGGTACATCCACATCTCTTTTTCAGGGGCTTGGGGAACATAGCCCATCTGCGCCCGACTTTGCCAGAGTGACAAAGTCTAACAGCTGAGAGCTTTCCCACTTCTGTGAATTGAACAACACCCAGCGCAATCTAGGTCAACGTTTCAGAAACGTTGGAATACTGTAATCTCATTCACCTGCTTGCTGGAGGGTCACCAGGAGCCTCACTCCTAGCCCTGGGCAGGACGCATCTGCTGGATGAGAGGGCACCGAGTGGCTTGTGTCTCTACAGTGTGCCACTCAGCCTTGAAAACATTGTCCCACCTCATTGTCACCCCACTTAGGCGAGTCAGATATTACAGTCGGGTGTATCCACCAGAAAATTGAAATTCGAAAGTTTAACTGCGATAAATGTACAAGACGATCTACATCTACTGCACCTAGAGCACATACATGTTTTACTGGATCAGAATTCATGTGTTTTATCTCACTTTTTGCTTTTAACAGAATTATTTCTTGCCTTTGAGTTGTAGGGCATTGATGGTTTAAGCCTAGATCTTAGGCCACATAATGGTAGTGATATCCATAATGCTTATTGGAGCTCGCTTTATCGTTTCCAGTTTAATGCTTTTTACCTTCTGTTGTGGTTTCTATTTGAATGCCCCCTCAAAGCCTCGTGTGTTCGTAAGTGGGACTTTTGGGAGGTGACTGGATAATGGAACCCCGATCCTCATCGGTGGGTTAGTCTGCCGATGAGTTCATAGCTGAATATGATTTCGGAGGTGAAGCCCGATCACAGGAGCTGGGTCCCTGGAGGTGACCCATTGCAAGGGTTTATGGCTTCCTTGACTCCTTTACTCTGTCTACTTCCTGACTGCTATGCCTTAAGCTACGCCTCCTCCACCAGCCCCACTACTACCCGGCTCTGCCTTGGAGCCAGCTGACTGTGGACTGAAACTAGTACACACTGTCAGTCAGAATAACCCTTTCCTCCTTTGAGTTGTGGGTACTGAGTACTGTGTCGCAAAGAAACTAATTAAGACGCTCCCGCTCCTTGGCCTTCGTGTCTCAGAGGAGCAGCTCAGATGCCCCCATCTCTTTGGCGAGCATCTATTGCTCTTTAACTGTGGCTGAAAACCCAGCTGAGTACATCCTTCCTGTCGATGCCCAGGGTGCATTGACCGTACTTGTTGCATGAAAGTTTCTCATGTTTAGTCGGCCAGCTTTGGGGCCTATTTAATAAAATTACAGACAGGAGACGGACTTCTGCGGTCTGCACTTTTAGGATCACCTTGAAGACACTAGGAAGACTGGGCATGCCCAGGGAAGCAGGAGCAAATGTGATTGGTGTGAAAGGGAAAGCCGCCCCTGTTCCCTGGGAAAAACCCTCAGATGTCTCTGGAGTAGACTCAACAGAGGCTGATTGGCTGACAACCATGAGTGACAGCCCCCGCGGCATGCTGTTAGTGACGCCAGGAAACTTCCCTATTCCACAGCATACTTTTGACACAGCTCACCTCTTGTCCTGTGTCTCAGGGGCCACGAGACCCCTGAGCTTTCATGTGTTATGCCATGTAGTGCCCACAAAACCCCTATGAGAGAATACTCAGCCCCGTTTCCATCTCACGGATGCAGAAACTAAGAACAAGATCACAGTCAGTAAATAAGAGTGCAGGGACAAAAATACAGGGGGTTTTACTCTAAAATGAAGACCCTTCTGTGAACGAGGGATAGTAGTGGCCCTTAATTACTTTATTATTTAGTTGGGGAGATAAAACCACGTGAAAATTAAAACTAAAGAGGACAAAATGTGTCAAATATATGTCATGGGTAATAAATGACAAAAGGTATTAGAAGATAGAATCACTTCAGGTAGGAATAGTTCAGGAGACTTAGAGGTGAATCTGGGCTTTGAGAAGGGGGAATTTGAACTGGATCGTGCACGTTGAATATAAGGGGGAGCATAAGGCATGGCGTATCTGTGGAACTGACAGCAGCAAAGAATGCCAGTGAAGCTGGGGAAACGGGGTTTCCCCAAAGCAAAGGGGGAAAGTAAGACACAACCCTAGGGATCTGCAAAGCAAGAGAATCCACGCGCGTGCGCACAAACACACGTACATATACACAGTCACACCTGGTTCCATGTACCCTATATACCAGTGGAGAATCGGTAAAGGTTTTTGTTTAAAGATGATGTCAGGGATGTCCTATTTTAGGAAGACCAAGACTTTGATGGTTGTTGGATGGTTGTTGGAAAAGAATGGGAAACAAATCTGAAGGCTAGTACAGCAGAACGGACATAAAGTAGTGATGTAGATCATCACAGAGGCTTTGTGAATGATTAAATGTGTTTGAGGAAGATGGACTTAAAAGAGAAGTTCACAATGACTATGGTGGTAAATGTGAAACCTGATGTATTACTAAGTGGAAAAAAGGGTAGGTGAAGGGGCAGAGGAATATTTTTTGAAATGTTTAGAATCATTTGGGTTAAGGTATATAGTTAAGGTAATATCAGGATATGCACATGGAAATGGTATAGTAATACATACAAAAAGTAGAGAATTTGATAAATGAGAGTTTATCTGCTATCAAGAGAGTAAGTACGAAAATTTTATGTGGTCTCTATTATAACAATAACCAAGTATGGCTGTTCATCTTTGTAAACCAGAGTTGGAAGAAAATTTATAATAAACATAAAACATTTTTATGACTCTGCATTAAATGGGTATTAAAGATTTCCACTTATATTTTTATTTAACCACAAGTTATATTTACTTATAGGGAAAAGAGCCTACCTAGAAAGTGATTTTCATAAGTTCAGAGAGCATCAGTATGATGAAAGAAAATTTAGAGATTATTTAATCTGACCCCACTGTTCATGCTACAAATGCTGAAATCCGGGGTCCAGTTCTCAGTGTGTGGTATTAAGCATTACAATAAGCATTGGGAAAATGCAATACTTCTGCTATTACCAGTTCTTGATAGCAAATCCCATTTTAGTTATAAAATCAAATCTGAACCTTGAATTGCAGATTGGAATTACAAGCAATTAAAGAAGTCAAGTGGCCGTGATTCCACAGCAGAAGATATCTTGGGATAGCCTCCCTAGTTCAAAGCAGACTCTTTGTAAAGGATAGGTGAAGAAAGAATGGTTGCAAGGGGTGAGGCAGCACTTCTCCTTTACATAATGCGGCTCCCAATTTGCTATATTCGTATTTGAGCCATAAAAGGTAGTTTCAGATTGCTCTTCCCTCCCACCATAGCTGCCTTAGTGCAGAACTGACAATTTCGCAGCCTAAGCATTACCTAAGATGCTCAGGGGCTTAAAAAGGTCACTCTAACTGTACAGCCCTGGGAAATGCTGCTGGTTCGATCCAGAGATTTCCTAGTGGACCCAGTAGCTACACTTGGGGTTGCAAAAGAGTTACTTCTCCTAGTCTCAAGTCTCGTGCCTTCACCCTTTCTGCCCAAACGCTTACCTTAGTAAAACAATGCCTTCGATATGTCTTCATCTCCAGCTCTTTATCCAGAAATTTACTTCATTTAGTTAAAGTGTTTCACACACATATCCAGGTAACGGCTGTGATGTTTCATCCAGTTTCTTCCATATCTTTTAGAGAAGTTCTGGTTAATTCCAACAATCTATAAATTGTTTAGGTTCATTTATCATCGTTACCAAGAAACCCCATTTACTAGGCACGTACTATGATAGGATAGACACGTTCTAACCCATGAGCATCAGTGACTGGCTAGAGTTGCTTATTAACGCTGAGTTCTTAGGGAAAGGAAACTAGAGGACACGAGATAAGTGCTATTGGCCAATCTCAGGGCTTCTTTGTTTTGACGGGTAACCACAAGATTCCATTCCAGCCGCATGACTTTTTTTCGCCCCAGCATTTATGAATAGCCACCAGAGAGCCAGGACAATAAGATTTTCAATGTCAGTATCGAATGGTTTGTTGCCTAGTTTTCTACTTGAATCAGATAGGGTGACTGCCCTACTTTCACCACATTTGGCAAATATAGGAATTCTGAGAACAGTGAACACTTACTATAGAAAAAAATGTACCCAGGGTGACACTTTGCCATCTTGACAAGGATGACACCTACCATTCCGTGGCAGTTCACCCTGCCCAGAAAGTTTAAAATTTTTCTTTTAAAAGAAAATATCTAATACTTAAAGAAAATATCTAATAACTAAACTATCCTCTTCATCTCTAGACGTGTGTGTTCTTTGAAAAGCAGATTGGCTCTGAGAATTATAAATGTACAAAAATGAGATAGTTAAACAGAATTAAGGAACAGTTTTCAGAGCAGAGGACATCTTCCGCTGAAAGGCTGTGTTGCAAGAATATTAACTAGGGCATGATTTGTAAAGACAAAAAAAATGAATTTAAATGTACCTTAAGAGGGGACTGTTTAAATAGACTTTTTGTATACAGGATAGAGTCCTATTAAAAATATAGAGTGCCTTCATATGTATGGAATAAACTTCAAGACACATTGTTTAGTGTAACAGGAAGTTGGAGACCAATGTTTATAACATACTGATGTTTATATGAAAGAAATCTCTGCTTGCATGTGTATATGATACCTCTGATGAGCACCCAAGAGGCTGGTAACACTGGTTGTGCATGAAGAGAAGAACTAGATAACTGGAAAGAAAGAGCATATAAGAGATTCACTTTTTACTCTATATTCTTTCATAGGTTTTTAATGTTAAATTGGGTGCTTGAATTCACTATTCAATAGCACTTTTTAAAAGGCTGCATTTACTGATGGTGTGTTTTGTGTGTTCCTTTTCTGTTGTGTTCTATAAATAACTGGCTATTACTTTTTTCAGATTGTGTGTTTTTTTTTTTTTCCCAGAGTAAAGAAGAGGAAGTGAAGGGAGTCCTGTGAATTTCACGTGTGGATTCTGGGGCTTCCCAGCGAAGGGAAAGATTCCCATGATCGTGCAGATGGGGAGATCCCATTATTGCTCAAGGATTCACAGCCATCATTAATGCCATTAGTCACTGTTTTACAGCTTAGCTGTCAGAGGCTCTAAAGTCATCTTCTATGAAGATTTTTGACAGGAACTTCTTTAGAGGGGAACAATGAAGGATGTTCGCATAAGGAGAAGCAGGAAAACAGTGGATATGGCCTGGAGGCTTCCCAGCCGGTCAGCTGCAGGCAGAGGGCAGGTAGAGTTGTCTCCTTTTCTCAAAGGACTCATCATCTAGAATTACATTTGCTTATCTCTTTTATTGTTTGTCTTCCCATATCAGCATGTAGGTTCCACAAAGATAGGAGCTCTATCTTGTTTCCTGCAGAGTCAGTTTTTCTGTGCCTGGTGGTAGAAGGCACTGTGGATAGCTCTGGACAGCTGGAATACCCAGTGACTGTCCCATCTGTGTTGCTTCTTTAGCCACTAAATTATTAGAAGACAGTAAGGGCATGGACATAGGAACTAAGAGTCAGGACCCCAGTCTCTGAAAGGGCGAGCAAGGTAGAATTCAAATCTTAAGGGAAAGGGGACTTAGAAAAATACTCAGTCATGGGGATACAAGACCAGAAACCAACTGCTGAGCTTGCGGATGGAAAGGGCTTGGTTGAAAAAAAAAAAGAAATGAAATTGAAAAAGAAAGTCAATAGGCCAGCAAAGTAAAACAAAATAATCCCACAAACAAAAAGCAAATGCCACAACAAAAAAGGAGAAAAGTGAGTCCTCTGAGAAGGACTTCAGTTGACAGAAGTAGCAAGTCATCAGAGGAGCAGGCTTGTGGCCAGAGTCAGTCTGCTGCTAGAGTCTTCTGTGGTGGGGGTGGATCCAGCAAGGGTCTATCTAGATTGGCTTTAGAATCTAGCATGGGGCAGGGTATAAGCTTAGTGACTAAGATCATCCGGATAGAACAGATACAACTAGTCTAGAGAGTTCCAAGTGCTCACATTCAGCCATAAAGTGGAAATGAATGCAAGACTCACACTGTCAGCTATTATTTGACCAATTAAATTCCAAGAGCTAGTTAGCGAAACATTGTGCAGAAGGATTCAGAAATGACTCTTCCCGCCAGGCAGGAAATGCTAAGCACGTATTTATGATTCCTGTAAGCAAATATCACAGGCATAGGTGGGGAATGATTAAGGTTACAAAAGTAAATAGGGTGCAGTTGTCTGACAATTTTTTTTTTTGAGACAGGGTCTCGCTATGTAGTCCAGGCTGGCCTTGAACTCGAGACAGTCCTCCTGCCTCAGCCTCCCAAGAGCTGGGATTACAGACGTGTGCCACCATGCCTGGCTTGTCTGACAATTTTTAATGATTTTGCTAGGTCACAGATCAGGGATTTGGTGAAAGTGATCCTAGAGGAGTTATTTGTTTTTTTTCTTTTTTCTTTTTCTTAGTACCAGGAATCGAATTCAGGACCTTGCACTTGCCAGGCAGGCACTTGTGCCACTGAGCTACATCCCCGGCCCTCAGAGGAGTTATTTATATTCTGCCTTTTCTATTCTGTGTTTAGTGTACCGCACACAGTTTGCACTTACAGACAGAAGTACGTCAGGCCATGCGTCAGACATAGTACAGCCATTCACCTATTCCTGTCTCACGCCCTTTTATTTCGGTCAAAATGTTCGCCTTTTCTAAAACAATGTCAGCAGTCCCCAGCAATGTTTCTCCTGCTCTGCGGCCATCCTATGACTTCCTCTAATTTTTGAGTTTTTTTTTTTTTTTTTCCTGGTACCAGGAATTGAACTCACGACTTTGCGCTTGCCAGGCAGACGCTGTGCCGCTGAGCTAAATCCCCAGCCCCTAACTTTTGAGTTTTATAGCAGAACTCTGGAAGCTTATTGAGAAAGGCTAGGTCTTCTGGATCATTCTCAGAAGCATCTGTTTTTTTGAAAGTGAGCCTTATCTGTCTTTGGCAGTCTCTGCTTTCTAATGGAGATCTTGTTAGAAGAACCCAGGCGATTTTCATTTTATTTTGGGTAATTACAAGAAGTAGATAAATGGTCAGTTTGCTTTCGCAAGGATAGTGTGTTTACAAAGAGACACCGTCCTGATGAGTGCTACCACCGTTTTTGTGTGAAGTGACATTTAAGTATTGGTAGAGTTTGGGTCTGTGTAGTTACTTATATTTTCTCAGTGGCCAGTTCTTTATGTATAAAAGAAGGAACTGTCATTTTCTAAGACTTTTTATGTATACATGAGCAACAGTAAATTGAGTTATAAAAGCTTCAGTTGATCTACAAAAGTAAATAAATGAAAGAAGAGTTCTCTAATTTTAAAATCTAGTACCTCTCAGTATTCTAATGCATTAAATTATAGCAGGGGTACATGCTCTCGTGTCAAGTTTAGAAGTCAGGTAAAGTTTCAGAAAAATCACCTTTAATCCTTTCATCCAGATTACCAACTACCCTACCACTTTTTCATTCTCTTTCATTTTATAACTATATTCCACTTCCTCCTTTGATTTAATTCAATCAAACAAGTGTTTATTTAGCACTAGCACTAAACTTTGGATCATAAAATAGGATACTCAGTCCATATCTTAAATAAACTATTTTTTGGAAATTCTATAAGAGATACCCTTGGGGGAAAAAAGCTAGAGAAAATCCCAAATCAGATATAATCAAGTGCTACACGTGCCTGAGCTAGGGGTCCATTCAGTCATCAGGGCTCCCCAGCTCTTAGTTCTCAAAATAATTTTCTGCCCACCTTCAGGACTCATTCAGCCAATGTTTCTTGAGCACCTACTAAGTATCAGGCACTGTTTGGATGAAGCACTACTTCCAGAGGCAGACTTGGATAATCCCTAAGCTGAAAGTAGTTGCTACTGTCTTTGTTTACTCTTCCTGCTCCTCGACTTCTACCATTTTCTCTTCTCATTCGTTAGCCATGCGGGCCTTTCTGGCTTTTGCTGTTCTTCTCTGGAACATCCATTCCCAAGTATCTCCAAGACTTCCTAATGTCTTTCAGCTGTCTGCCCAAGTGCCACCTTATTAGAGAAGCCATCCTTAACACCCTACGAAGAATAGCACCTATTTCCTTCCTTTATGTAATTATGATCACTATAATAAATATGTTAGGTGATAATATATACACACATATAAATATATGTTAGGTAATAATAACATATATATTGCTAGAAGGAGGACGTTTGTACCTTTAACATTTACATAATACAGAATGAAAATTACAGGCTTATGATATCTTCATGATTTTGAGAGCTGGGGATTAGAACCTGGATCAGAATATAAGAATGGTAGATGTGGTCTTGCTAATGGAAAAATAATTTTATCTCTTAATTTTAATTTTTTTTGTCTTTTTTGAGGCAGGGTTTCACTATGCATTTCCAGCTGGCCTTGAACCCACTTTGTAGCCAAGGTTGTCCTCAAACTCATAGTGATCCTCCTGCCTCAGCCTCCTGAGTGCTGGGATTACAAGTGTGCATCACTAAGCCTGGCTTAGAAAAATAATTTTATAGGAGAAGCACAGCAGCAGTGTGTGAATGGAACTTTATTTACCTGAAGATGAAAAAGAAGGAAAGTTTATTTGAATAAGGTAAAAAAGAACATAGAAACATAGACTGATGGCAAATAAATAGGTGAAGGTTTATTCAGCAAAGTTCCCATAGGTACAAAAGAATGCAAGAAGTCTTGGGTATCTGGGGGTCTGACGCCTATTGCAATCCATCAGAAGCAGGTTATCTAAGCAAGCCTCTAT